GGATGATAGGGGGCGGATGGGAGATCATAAAACCGAAGATATCACACATTCACACCTCTGGCGTTTTGCGCTATAGGAGTTGAAAGTGCGCCATTGACGATTACTTGGTACCTATTGATTTTACAAAAAAAAATGAAATAAAAGATGTGCAACATTATTTGACCTACAATGTTCATCTAAAGACTTTTTTCATTAAGGGCCGTCTGTGGTCATAAGGGCTATTTGAAATTTATAATGAAAATAAAAAAATTTAACCAACGTGAAAATTTTTCTACAACACACATACAACGTTTTTGCTTTATGAAATTTTTACTCACCCCCTGCCGTTTTTCAATAGGGGTAGTTTAAAGTTTTTTTTATTTTTTCACAAAAAAATTTTCTCAATAAAAGTTTTATAAGATTACATTTCCTACAATTTTTCCCTATCAACTTTTTTTGTAACTCACCCCCATTCAGCGGGGGGACACTTCCCTTAGGGAAATTTTAGTTTTCAAGGGTATATATTGTTTTTTTTTTGTTTTTTCTTTTTTCGCCTTTAGTGCAAATAAAAAGTTGCAGTTGACATTGTATCGAAAGGTTTTTTTTTTCCACCACCCTTTTGTTTTTAGGGGTAGTTCGCCTATTTTCAACTTTACAAAAAAAATGTATCAAGAAAACTTGTTCATTTTATTGTTTTGAACAACTTTTCTTTATAATTTTTTTTTAAAGTTGAAAATAGGCGAACTACCCCTAAAAACAAAAAGGTGGTGGAAAAAAATCCTTTTAATACAATGTTAATTGCAACTTTTTATATGCACTAAAGGTGAGAAAAGAAAAAAAATAAATAATATATACCCCTAAAAACTAAAATTTCCCTAAGGGAAGTGTCCCCCCGCTGAATGGGGGTGAGTTACAAAAAAAGTTGATAAGGACAAATTGTAGGAAATGTAATCTTATAAAGCTTTTATCGAGAATTTTTTTTTTGTAAAAAATAAAAAACTCTAAACTACCCCTATTGAAAAACGGCAGGGGGTGAGTAAAAATTTCATAAAGCAAAAACGTTGTATGTGTTGTAGAAAATTTTTCACGTTGGTTAAAAAAAAATTATTTTTATTATAAATTTCAAATGGCCCTTATGACCACAGACGGCCCATAATCAAAAAAGTCTCTAGATAAACATTGTAGGTCAAATAATGTTGCACATCTTTTATTTGAAATATTTTTTTGTAAAATCAATAGGTACCAAGTAATCGTCAATGGCGCACTTTCAACCCCTATGATCACCCATCCGCCCCCTATCATCCCTGAAAAATTCATTTAGGTAGGGATTTTTTTTTGCAATGTATTTTTCGACAATTTTCATAGACTATATTTGTTTTATAGATATCATTAAGTTGTTTATCTGTGGACGGTGATTTATTTACATTTAGAAGATGTTTATTTATTTCGTCAGGATTGTTAAAATTATCACGTATAGAATTTACTTTTTTTTTAATGTATATCTAAGTCATGTAACTGCAAAAAGCTTTATTTTTCAACCGTATCATTTTTTTAATTGTATATGTAAGCCATGGTGGCTTTCTAGTCTTTGAACTTACTTGCTTTAGGGGTGCAAGGGTATCAAAAATATTAATCCAATAATTGCTTGAAGCTGCGACTTTATCATTGACTGTGTTCATGTATATCATATTTTCAAAAAGAGATAGACTCAAAAAATCATTCAGGTTCTTTATCAATATTTCTTAAATTTCGAAATTTCATTGTGTCGGCCTGTTTCTGACAAGTGTCGGAAATGAAGCAGTAAGTTGGAAAATGATCAGAAAATCCCTCATCCTTAACACCTGAATCAATATTTATTTCTCTCTTTGACGCCAAAACGACGTCCAGCAAAGTAGCACTACTTTTTGTAACTCTAGTTGGCTCCTATATGACTTCTTGCAGATTGAGTGCTTCTACATAGTCATAGAAGTTAATGGTGTGCTGATCTGTTAGATTCAATAAATTTAAATTAATGTCACCATCACAGAAAACTTCGAGAGGTTTGAAATCAGATAATCGTTTTTCGAAAACCTTGAGAAAGTCAAAAGCCACACCTTTAGGAGGTCTATAAAAACGCCAACAACGTAATTCTTTTTGAGAATATTTATTTCGACCCAGATCTCCTCGAGGGTGACATCCGACAAAACGTGACAAATGGAAAATTATAAATTGTTTTTTATTTAAAGTGCTACACCCCCACCCCTAGCGGATCGGTCTGATCTTACCACACTGTATCCATTCAACGTTATGATAACATACGGTATATTTTTTCCTAGCCAAGTCTCCGATAGACCTACCACGTCATATTTACCTTGTTCGACGATGGTTTTAAAATCAGAAAAATGAGCCACAAGTGCCCTTATGTTAAGAAAAGTAGCTCTAAAATTCTTTTAGATCTATAAGATATAACCCTTTTGTAAGAATTCATGTTAAAAGACAAGAATCAGCATATTCCTTATTGCTCAACTGATATTGTTATTTATGTCATCCGATTCTTTCGAAATAATTCTTATCACATCAACCCGACCAGCGCGTGATCCATTTTTGCCACTTTTCTTTGTTCATTTACTGATGAAATCTCGGATGATGTCAAATTCTAAGGAATGACGCAAATTTGCATTATAAATAGCTCGCTTCACAATTACAAGAAAGAGTCAATAAATCACATTATTGTAAATTAGTCTAATCAATTTAGATAAACAAATCTGCAAACTAGCCAAAATTAATTTTTACTGGAGAAGAAATATTCTGGTATCCGGAGATCCCAACAAGGAGCAGACACATCAGCTTCATTATCCCTATATTTATTTATGTTTGTACTTTATTTCTGCATCAATTTCATCCATAATATTGAACAAAAAATGTAAAACTTAGGCTCTTGGAGCTAATTCCCGAACTCGAGCGAACTGTGATAACTGTTTGATCTCCATTGTTGTTGTACTTCTTCTCTATTTGAAACCAAAGTATTTTTGCTCCGTTTGTTCCATAGTTTTTAACGTGCATCATTTTCTTTCTGGTCGTTGATAGGTGATTAAACCTACTACCTAACTAGAGCCAGAACTGTTTAAGATTATACGAAAACTTAATTCATTTATATTTATATTTGATTTTAGTCAAAAGCATCTCAGATATTAACAACTATAACTATACATTTTCCTAATTACCAAAATAAATTTGAATCAAGTTGAAGTCAGAAGCCACACCTTTATAGGAGGTCTATAAAAACGCCAACAACGTAATTCTTTTTGAGAATATTTATTTCGACCCAGATCTCCTCGAGGGTGACATCCGACAAAACGTGACAAATGGAAAATTATAAATTGTTTTTTATTTAAAGTGCTACACCCCCACCCCTAGCGGATCGGTCTGATCTTACCACACTGTATCCATTCAACGTTATGATATCATCTGGTATATTTTTTCCTAGCCAAGTCTCCGATAGACCTACCACGTCATATTTACCTTGTTCGACGATGGTTTTAAAATCAGAAAAATGAGCCACAAGTGACCTTAAGTTGAGAGAAGCAGGTCTAAAATTCTTCATAATTAAATTAATCAGGCATGGTATGTACTTACCAAATTTATATGCAGGCAAATATAAATGAGTAAAAATTACAAGGAGAAAAATATGTCTAGAAAAAGAAAAAGAAACATATGTAAGTACGTATATAACTCAACGTTCGTAGATTTATGGTAAGGAACAGATCTAAGCTTCTACTTAAGGCACATTCGCAGAGCAACTGCTCCCTGCTCAAGTCCCAATTATGGATTGAGAACGTTGCGGTTTAACTCCTGACGTTACCTTTGAACAAAAGTTAACCAAACACTGAGAGATTATGTTGATTACAAATTTAACGTAAGCCATTGCATTCAACGCCCGACATCCAAAAGTTGGTCGTGTTCTCTCGAACTGTAAAGTTTAACTGTAACGATCAACTGCAACGTTTTTAATCTATAATCGAGGCTTTACGGAGGCAGGTTGTACCTCTCTGTACTCAGTTCATTATTACGTTAGGTATTTTTCCGTGAATGTGGTGTTTCTCTATGGCCCTGTGAGACCAGGGCCAGGTAATCACAAACCAGTCAGAGCTAATTTCATTGGTTGAAAATATTCAGAAAACGCTCTGAATGGTTTGTGATTTCTGTGAGAACAGACCTGTGATTTCTGTGAGAACAGACCTTATATTTCTTCAACAGTAAATCACTGAAATCATCATCATTACTTTTTTGTTTGAAGTGTTTTCTTAAGTCTGTTCCGAAAACTTTCCCCAACGTAGAACATCAATAAAATTATATTCTTATTCAAAAAAACTATAATAGACAGCCCAAAATAAAGAAGTATGCGATGAGCAGATTGGTTCACATGGCAGAGGGAGAAAGGAACCGTGATCTGTATCACGCACAGCAGAACATCGCTAAAAAACTATCCAGGGTCAGTTTAACCCGTATAAACACTTAGAGCTTTTTATTTACAATAAGTGGATCGCTATTCGCTAGTGATCTTCTATTTTAAGGATAATAATGCCTCGAAAGTTTGCGCGGAAGTCACCTAATCAAAATAATTCTGCATTTTTAAGCTGTTTATCTGCGTTATGGACCTTTGAAAGCTGATAAAATCCACAGGTTTTGAAATTTCAGTCTACAAGAATATGATATAATCCTTAAGTAATCCTTGATTAGTTTTTTGGTTTAATTATAAAGGCATAAAACCACTTCAAATAATTCGCCGGTGACGGTATTCGTATCGTAACTAGGCATATACCTACTTGGACAGCAAATTGAGCAAATTTTGTTCCGGTAAACGTAAACGCATGTCATAATTTAAGTCATCTGGTATTGACTGAGCAATAAGATACCGATGCGGAAACCGATTTAAAAAATCAGAAGCTGTATGATGTGTCTAATTAATATCTATTCGAAATCGGTTAAACACGAGCCTGTACTACTTATCTATTTAATTTAATTAAACGTTTTCGTTTCAGATGCTTTACTAGCCGATCTACAAAGCACAGTGAATGGCGGTTCAAGCCAGGCTGGATACGGCTCCGTAAACGCACCCCGTGGCAGACTTACTCCAGCCAGTTCAGTTTCTGATATTTCAATAACGAAACCTCAAATGAACCGTATCAACACGGTAAGTGACGCATACTATTATATTACGAAAAAGAGATTCGTTCTATGCAATTTTTGTCATAATAATAATGTCCACAACATGAAATGGCAAGATTTAAAAAATTTGGAACAGCTGTAAGCGTGGCACAGAATAAATATTATTAGTAACTGATCAGGTTTATTTATGAAAAATGCATCAATACAACGTTCATAGCATCTATTTTTAACACGGTGCTCTAGGATTTCAAGAATATTCATCGGAGGAAATTTATTAGTTTAATAGTTTAATAATAAATTGAAAATATGACAGATGAATCTGTCATGTTGTGATGTTGCTAAACTGTTTTGGCTTGATTTATTTTTTGTACTGAGCTCAAAGTGTGGATTCAATTAAGCGAAGTACAAAAAGCCTTTCTGGGTCGAATGTAGAAATTTTAAGGTACTGAATCATTGTAGTACCTTGAAGATAAAATTTTCTAATCCATTTTTACAAATTCAATCGCTGTTTTTTTTGCATCTATTTTCGAAAAAACAAAAAGCTGCCACTCTATTATGGCGTATGTTAAGTTCGTTTACTCTAAATGTCAAATCAATATTGGGTCACACATTTCACTGCTCGGACCATGGACGCTCGTGTGGAGGATGTTATATCCCCATATATTAACCTTAGATTGTTATATCTATAATTATTATTATATTTTAGTTATAACCCTATTGTAAGAATTCATGCTAAGACATGAATTAGCATATTTCTTATTGCACAACTGATATTGTAATTTGTGTCATCCGATTCTTTCGAAATAATTCTTATCACATCAACGCTACCCGCGCGTGGTCCATTTTTGCCACTTTTCTTTGTTCAATTACTGATGAAATCTCTGATGATGTCAATTTCCAAGGAATGACGCAAATTTGCATTATAAATAGCTCGCTTCGCAATTACAAGAAAGAGTCAATAAGTCACATTATTGTAAATTAGTTTAATCAATTTAAATAAACAAATCTGCAAACTAGGCAAAATTAATTTTTACTGGAGAAGAAACATTCTGGTATTCGGGGATCGCAACAAGGAGCCGACACATCACCTTCATTATCCCTATATTTATTTATATTTGTACTTTATTTCTGCATCAATTTATACCATAATATTGAACAAAAAATGTAAAACTTAGGCTCTTGGAGCTAATTCCCGAACGCGAGCGAACTGTGATAACTGTTTGATCTCCACTGTTGTACTTCTTCTTTATTTGGAACCAAAGCTGGAGTATTTTTGCTCCGTTTGTTCCATATTTTTTAACGTATGCATCAATTTCTTTCTGGTCGTTGATAGGTGATTAAAATTTAGTTAGGTAGAGCCAGAACTGTTTAAGATTATACGAAAACTGTATTCATTTATATTTATATTTGATTTTAGTCAAAAGCATCTCAGATATTTTAACAACTATAACTATAAATTTTCTTAATTACCAAAATAAATTTGAATCACAGAAATGAAAAATATGTTATATTTCAGTAACTTTTTCTACTTTAGTCTGATTATTACAAAATAATAACCTGCTAACAGAAGGTATTTTTAAAGTCGTAACATGATATCTGATTCTAAAAATATTTTTTTAATCGCGCCTACTTGATAAATCAGAGTCTAGAAATTAATTTGATATTATTGGATTAAGATTATTTCGAAACTACTTTAATCAATTATGATCACTGATCAACAGTTATTCTTGAGTTTTGAATGTGCGTAAATCAACGCATAATAGCTGCACAAAATGTTTTTTATTTTTTGATTCAGCCTATTCTACAACAGAAGTTGTCCCAGCCCCTCTTATATAAGAAGGGCAATAAAGTGTTCCTAATTTTACATAGATATAATTCCCTCCATAAAATTGTCCACTCGGAATTAAAACAATAACTGACCATATCCAAAGTTGACCTTCTTTCAATAAACATCAAACCATACCTATTAGGTGTCATAATCGACAAATCAAAAACAAATTTGGAATAGTGCGTTGCCTGGGATTTGTCTAAAGTGGACTACATTGGATGGATGTGGAATATCATTAGAAATTCAATATGTGTTTCTGGCTGAAGGTTTACCTACTGTTTTTATTTATTGTCGATGCTCAATACTCAATCTTCTTATTATCCGAAATACTGCGAGCCTTGATGGATACTTCGTTGCTGTGCGGGTCTATCCAGGGCCGTAACATCCCCGTCAACCAGATCGAGCTGCCTCCTGCTTTGATGTTTGTCTCGAGGACATCTTTTTTGGGAATACATAATGACATAAATACCTATTATTTTTGAATTATTTATTGTTTCAAATTTCCTGAAAAAAAAAGTTATGTTGTTTCACTTGAATACTTAGCTTCGAAAATACCAACAACCACCTGAGGATGCAGAATCCACAGGTTGTAGTTCCTAAATACATAGGTATATTGATGTCAATAAAATTTATTGAAAGAAAAAACAAAAGTTCAAGAGTCTTGAATGTTTATTATTTAGCCTCCCACCATTTTTGATGCGAAGACTAGAATTTATAGAAAAAATGATGGACATTATGATTTATTATTTTTAAGGTGGGAGATATTGCACACGACACGACGCCAATAAAACACGTCGCGTCACCGTTCTGAAAATAATATAACCGTTAATATAACTTTGCCTGTTCGAATTTTCAAAGAAAAAAAAAAACATCACGCAAAATTATTTGGCTGGAAAGATTTTGCAACTCTGGAGTTAATTATTATTGTAAACATTGACGAAACGAGTTGGCATTCGATTTGCTTACAAATAGGCGATTATATAATAAGTTTATTTGAGAGAATAATCGCGTGTGTACTGTTCCAAGCGATCTTTCAGTAAATCGGAATAACTCATCGCATTGGTATTTAGTGTTGTTATTACAGATTCCTATGAATAATCAAAATCCAATGGAATATTTCAATTTGTTTAGCTTCTGTTTGCTTTGATTCGATTTAATCATCCGAACGATTCATAATTTAACATACTATAACAATGTAAATTCTTTGGAGTTTTATGGATACTTATTCCATTTATAGTGGCGGATCTTGAATAAGTTTAATGACGTGCAGTTATGTAATTTCAGAATTTTGGCTTAATTTGACCCTTCAGCCAAAGTCTGGTATAATGAAATGCAAATTTGGGAGGGTAGCTTTATGAAACTTTTTTTTTTCCAAATACAAACCTATTACATTTTTTCTCATTGAACTGATTTATTGTTAAGTTGTAGAATTAGAAAAGTCTAAATTATTTTTGTGGAAACGCAAATGAAAATCAATTATTTTCATTAGCGTTAAAATTAATTTTTACAGTTAATATTCGCTATATCAATAGAAAGTGAGCATGAAGCGTGAACTAAATTAGAATTATCTATTCATATGTATATAATTATTATTATCGGTTGATAAGCTTCTACGTCTTCCGATTTCTGATATCCAACTATCTCCTCACTCCTGGCAACCCAGGCATCCTCTTCATCTCAATTCCTCATCGACCCAACTTCTCCAGCATCTTCTAAGTCTGCCGCGTCTTCTTCCTGGCATCTACTGAATGATTTGCTTGAGTATCCTCGTATCTGCCATTATATGTACATGTTGAACCCGAACCAAATCAGTTGTTTGTCTTAGATATCATCTACTATTGTGTCTTGCGTTCATAATTTCCTATGCACTGGTTTCAGTGTCTTCCAGCATCACTGCGGTTCTGTGTCTAGGGTTCCCTCATGCGAAGATTAAGTAACACAATTGCCGAACTGTTTCTTACAAGCCTCCATTTTGTAAAATGGGCCTAAGCTTTTTATGACTTGATAATAAAAATTCTATTTCTAAATTGCTCTCGCTAAATTTTTTTGGTTATTAGGCCGTCAGATTCGATATATGCGGTATTGTTTTTCAATTTGTGTTATAAACATTAAATGCAATATTTCAAATGACCGTACTATAATTTGCAAATCAAATCAGAGCATATGAGAATAGGCTCCTTATCACTGAAAAATGGGATTCCGACTCACGAGGTAGCTAGTCTAAGCTGTAAGCTATAAGCTACCCCAATAGGCAATAAACCCAAAGGAAGCTATGAGACCCGTCACTCAGGCATATTCTTCACAAAATAACATCAGGCTTTATTAAACTATTATAAGGAATCAGTGTTTAGAAGAACAGTAGAGTCTATCTCAACAACATGGTTCTTTTCTCACTATACTGGCCATCTTAGCAGCATAGTTATCCTAATTCATCCAAGCTCTTATTGGACAAGGCTACTACCCCTTTAGTTATGGTATCTGAACAATTTAATTGCCACATTTCGCATCCATATAAGATTATGCTTTGGAATATAGTATTATACATAAGCCGTTTTCTGTCACGTGATATATGATTTTACCATAGAATCGAGTTTAGACATCCAATTATCCTTTTTCCTTTTACTATCCTTGCTTCGATCTCGGCTTCTGTTCTGCCTGTCTTATCTATTTGTGTTCCTAGATAGGTATATGTGTCGCACGCGGATATTTCAACATTATTGTCTAAAGTTAGGTTTCCCGAGTTTTGGCCGATGCATAAGTATTTGGTTTTTAATTCGTTCACCGATAGCCCCCATTTTTCATATTCGGTAAGAAGTCTTGTGTCATAAATTCTAGGTCTTCTTTATCCTGTGGTATTACCACCTGGTCGTCTGCAAAATGGAGTGTATATAAAGTCTTTTCGTTATTCAGTTGTATCCCCATACCACTACATGATCTTCTCCACTTTCTTAGTGTTTCATTTGAATAGATTTTGAAAAGTGTGGGAGATGAACATCCTCTATTTCGTGAGGGCCAGATTCTTGTTCTATTGTGTCTCTAATTAATCGACCAAAAAGCCTACTTATTGTACTTGTGACCGAGATACATCTATAATTAGAGCAATCGTCTTTATTACCCTTTTTGTGAAAGGGTGTTATCCACGCCTCTTTCCAGCCTGGTGGGATTTGTTCTCCATTTATGTATCTGGTAAAAAGTTC